CACCTCAAAGGGTCGTGACCAGGGCCCAACGGGATAGCAAACCAGCGGCTGGAAAGTTTGGCGTTAAAAGACCACCACCATCCAGCCCTCCAGAAACAGATGTTCGAAAGAAAACCCCAAATAATTCATGCTAACTCTGGCAACATTGAACATCAGGGGGGCTAGGGACAAACACATTATATAAACAACATAATAAATAAACACAATATTGAAATCCTACTTTTACAGGAAATTAACATTTGAACTACAGAAGAAGCAAATAAACTAGATGCATAATTAATATCGACATTCGCAAGCTAAACATCACTCGATCAGCCCTGAAGTAAATTAACATTAGAACAGTGTTCTGTTTCCCAGGTTTTTAAAAGTGCACAACCTGAATGGTAGAAAGAGATACACACCTCACCCCCCCCCCCCCACACACACACTTCCCCCCACTCAACCGGACTGGCGGATTTTTCAAGGTAGCGTGCCCTCTTTGCCAAGGGTCAATTTTATGTCATGGAAAGTTTTGGAATGATGGATCAGTATGTGTACTGCAGAGACACTTCTCCCAAGGTCGTTTCTGTTTCTGTCCATGGGCGGCAACAATGTGAACTTTTGACTCCTCAGCTAAGGACAAAGCACAGTAAACTAAGCAGTCAAGAGAAACCTAGTTTGCACACCTTATTTTAGTCTAGTTCTTATGCCATTTTATTTTCTCCATTTGATTATTATATATGCAATTGATGTTCATGTCTTTGATGCTGTGTAAAATCTATCAAATAAATAATTATTACTGATTTAAAGGTTTAAAACAATTGAATTAATAAAACAAACAACAAAATAAAAATAAAAAGGAAAAAAAAAACTAATTGAGGACTACATAGATATAGATGTTTGAAAGGGAAGAATGTTTGCTTTGATGTGTCTCATTGTAATAACATAACTTTTCCGATTGCTTAAAATTTGTATAATTTTAATTCTCGGTAATCCCTTTTTTTTTTCAGCTCTACTTTAAAACCCAAATTCCACCCCCCCCCCCCTGTCCCCTCAGCCCACCACGCACGCCGAGAAAAAAAAATCCCTTGAATTATCATTTAATTACACATTTGCATTTTCAGTTTCAGGTTGGTTTTTAATTTTATTTTTTTCTTTATATTTAGACGTTTTTGTACTAGATCTATGTATAAGTAAACCATCTTAAATGAATGAAAGCAGGCTACAAGTAAGATAGAAATATTACTATTGTAAATCTGTATCAGTCCTCACAAGCCGATGATGAAAACTGTAATACTAAAGCGAACACACAACTGACGCTAAAAATTACGTGTCTGAGGCAAAAAAAAAAAAAAAGAAGAAAAAAAGAAAAAAAAAAAGAAAGACTTTTAAATAATAATTATCTTAATTTACATAATTATTATACAATCGCAATTATAATATACTAATCATTCCTATTACTTAGGTTTTTATTTTTTCGTACACACAGTATAGAGGATATCAAAAATGCATATGTTAACAGATCGCTAAGTTTCAACGCCGCCCTAAGCCAGAAAATTTTAGTTTTCCAATGTGTGTTGGTATAATTGTGTGTCTGTTTGTGAAAAAATGATAACTTGAGTAATGGTTCAGCAAAGTAACTCTCTGCGACCAGAGTTCACAGACGACAGCAAGCTGATCAAGCAATCGCCAGTTAATAATTGTGTTAACTCACCTTAGTTTCAAAAGTTTATTAATCAATAGTTTAAAAGCTATTATCTGCCTTTAATAGCCTTCATTAACTTGATTCAGCTCAAGATTGTAAACATTCAGCGTAAATCAAAGTTAAGCATACTAATCGGGTGATCGCTTCTAATTAGTTATCTCTCCTTCAGTTATGTTAATAGTAATCTGAAATCAATGTTTAATGAATATTTAAGCATCTAATATATTGAAAATTTGATATTCTTGCATTTTCATAAAAAGAAAAGTTATCTGGAAAGTTTGAACGTAATCGGTGAATTAGAGGTGGGTCAGAATTGAATTACAAAAAAAATTGTCACAAATCCACAAACCAACAAACAAACGGACGCGGCCAACTGTAACATTTAAAGAGGAAAAAAAAGGGGGGGGGGGGGTGACACCATGAGGTGTTGCGCCGGGCTACACCTGACCTAGTGACGCCAATGTTGTAAGCTTATAAAAAGAGGATTTAACTTAACATGTTACATCACTATACAATAGTATTATTATATACATATATATATATATATATATATATATATATATATATATATATATATATATATATATATATATATATATCAGTGTTTCTTCCAGACTTTTTTCTTTTTACTTTTAAAAGTAAATATTTTCTATATTAATTATGTAAATTTCATTTCGTTGGGGGGGGGGGGGGGTAGAATTTTTTCGGGAGGGGGCTTTGCCCCCCCCCCCCCCCCGAAGGGATGCCTGGAAGAAACTCTGATATATATGCTACCGTTAATATATATATATATATATATATATATATATATATATATATATATATATATATATATATATATATATATATATATATATATTTATTTATTTATTTATTTATTTATTTATTTATTTATTTATTTATTTATTTATTTATTTATAATTTTTTTACAGAAATCAATGGAAATCAAGGGAAAAAATATGTTGGTTATTGAATCTTTCTTCTTCTTCGTTCTTAATTATTAGTGTTGAAGGGGATCGAGATTTATCTGCCAGTGGGTTTGAACTTGAGACTTTGTTCGAATTTATCAACCATGAGCTTTTTGCCGACTCGACCACGCCTCCAACACAATTAAGCGTTACGTGACAACTGGTTATGCGCCATTGAGGCCATTGACTCCGATTTCAGCCTGCTTTTCTTTTTGAATTTGCTTCCATAGCCTTTGTCCAACCAAGAACAAACTACAAGGCAGCAGTTGTTTAATTTTGGAGTTATCTCTCCTAGAAGTGTTGCTGTCCCCAGCTAACGAGCCTCATCTGCCCGAGGGTTCGAACTCGAGACTTTTCGGTTTAGCAACCATGAACTTTACCGACTCGACCACGCCGACCCCTGGTTATTGAATGATTGCTTATAATATATTCATTATTTAAAGATCTACGGTAAATAGCGTACAGTGAATTAGTTATAAGAGTGACCTCCCTTGGTCTGTTTACATTTTTCATGATTTTTGAATAGCGTTTTTCTTAGAAGTAAATTTCCATCTAGATCTAGATTTCTAGATTTAGATAATTTTCATAATCGATTCATAATCATAATGGCTAGGCTAGTGCCATTGGTATAGTATTTAATAGTGAGTTTATTTAGATATAGATTATCACTAGTTTCTTCACATTTAAGAACTGTGCTAAAAAATATTTTAAAATCTGAACTAACCAGGATTTTGGTATGATATTTCGAGTGTGGGGAAATTGCGCGACGCGAAAAGCGAAATGGCGAGGCGGGAAAATGCGAGAAGGGCGCGAAAACAGTTGGTCACGTGACTTTTTTGTCTCGCATTTTACCACAAGCCGATACTTACGCTGGGTGGTGTTGAAATGCGAAGATTTCTGCGAAAAATTTAACGCACCCGATTTTCAGTGGTATTTGGTCCAGACTTCAAACACGTTTTCTTTACATTGTTAAAACTTTCGATTTTTCCGTCGCTAGACACAAAAATGATTTGTGGACTCCCCCCATCTTTTGTGTCGACTTAGAATACCACCTTGTTCGAAACCGACGGAAATACCGCCGACGATAGATCAACTTCTTTCTTTTGTGTGGACTGGAACGCCGAGGCCGCCTGATTTACCGTCTTTGAAGATCGCCGTGCCGCCGCAAACATATTTTGTATTGTTGCATAGAAATGTGTGACGTCACACTGTAAAAAAGCAATGTTAGAAAAAGAATTTTAGACGTTTTTCGTGTTTTAGAAAACTGTTTTCATAAATTGTAATAGGAATTGATTAAAATACTCTATTTTGACAGAAATTAGACAAGATTTTGGGAAAATATCGATGTTTTTTAAAAATTCAACTGCAATTTTGAGGGGGGTTGTAGGCTGAGGTGTGACGTCATTTTAGTGGGGGGGGGGGGTCTGGATTTTTGTGAAAATGTGTGACGGATGGGAGGGGGAGGGGGGGGGTAAAAATCGTCATTTATGGATGAACCCTTTTAGCTATTAATTGGTAGTTTTGTCGATAGCGGACTTTATTCAGATTATCTACAAACGCACATTTTTTTCCATTATGTTCATATTCGTGTTCTGTGTTAGCACAGTATAAATGGGAGTCTAATGAACTGGGTTGGATGTACTATGTGTGACAGATGGTGTGACGAGGTGTGTTTGATTAGTGCTAGGACTGTTTCAGAAGATTTTGTTTGTAAATTGTGTTTGTAATTAAAATTACTTAATAAAAAATAAATTACACTTTTTAGAATTGTTTATAATGTTACACTTTTTGCAAGTACAACAATCCATGAATACATGTTGCAGAATGTCTCTCCTGCTGACAAAATTATACCAATTCACAATGACACAGCTCACGTTTGTATAAACATGAGCGGGATAGATTTTTTAAAATTAATGTCGACTGAGACGGGATTTTCCTCTCGCTAACGAGAGCGGGCGATGACAGTAGCACAGCAACGATGTTAGGATTTTTAAATAGATAGATCTGGATATAGATCTATCTATCTTCTTAGTATCTATCTATCTATATAATAAAATCTAGATAAAAAAATAACAACATTCAACACTCGTGTTAAAGGGTATGGCTACATGCTAGTTTATTTTAAAACAAAAAAAAATAATTTAAATAAATAAAGATGAAAAAGGCATAAAAAAAACTTTTTTTTCGCAAAAAGTGTCTCGCCATTTACCCATGATTCCGCAGGTATGTCTCGCATTATCTTCTCGCATTTTCCCGCCTCGCCATTTCGCTTTTCGCGTCTCGCAATTTCCCCACACCCTGATATTTCTTGCAAGTGCTTTATTGGGAATTCCCAATCTTATTTTTCATTTTGCTGTTGCGAAATGTGTTTTTTTTATCTTAGAAGTAAAGCTACTGTAATTGATTCACAGGTCCTATAAACACTTCCACAAGGAAGGATTTATAAATTTATAGGATATAGATTCTAGACCTAATAGAGTTGGTGTCATCTTAATTTTACATTTCTTGATTTTTATTTACAGCTTGCTTACTTTGTAATGAAAATGAAACTATACTTAAAATCTCTATGACATATGTCACAATGCAGGGTTTATTATTATCTTGGATTCCATCTTCAATAAACCTGTGATATTACTACAAATACAACATATTTGAAATATAAGACATTTAACATTAAAGTAAGGGTTGCAATTTACTTAAATTTTCTCTGAGAGGATTTTTATTCTTACTATTTGTTATTTAAACATCAGAAAAAAGCAAGAATCTGTCCTAATTATTAAGTGAAAAAATGGCAGTGTCTGATTTTACTAGAAATTGTGAACATGATTATCATAAACATTTAATGCACGCATATTATCTATCGTCACAAACATGTTTGGCTAAATCTGTAAATAAGTATAATGAGGGACATACAGCTTTGATGCTTGCTACCAGATATGGGAATGAAAAAGTTATTAAAATGCTACTGAAGCGAGGAAGAGACATCAACCAGACTGACAAGTATGGCTGCACTCCTTTCATGTTGGCTGCAGAGTCTGGCCACAGTGGGGCTGTAAAGCTCTTGTTTCATAAAGGCTGTAATGTTAATGCTTGTAATCAAGACGGTGAACATGCACTTTTGCTTATTTATAATGGGTTGCGGGGGGCACATTGTTACTTTTCGCAAATAACAATGAGCAGTGTGTATGCAGAATACATAAAGAAACTTAACACTTTAGTGTATAAACAAACAACAAAAACCAGCAGGGAGCATATAGCTGAGATCTTAATTCAATGTGGATCTAATGTAAACACAGTGAACAAAGTATATAAGCAAAATGCGTTAATGCAAGCATCATCTTGTGGCTGCAGTGCATCTGTCCAGCTGTTAATAAATAGTGGAAGTGACATCAACTCAGTTAACTCATTTCAATGTAATGCCTTGATGATTGCAGCAGAACATGGGCACCTAAATTGTGTAGAAATTCTTGTAAATAATGGCAGTGATAAGACAAGAAGAGATTATGAAGGCAATGATGCTTTGATGATTGCTATCAAAAACGGTAATAACGACATTGTAAAGATGCTGGTATCGACAGGATGGGACACACATAGAGTAAATCAAGCTGGTTATGATGCTTTGATGGTTGCTTCTGAATATAACAATGTAGGATGTATAGAAATTCTTCTAAGCAACGGTTGCAATAAAACAGGAGTAGATCAAAATGGTAACGATGCTTTAATGATTGCTTGCAAGCATGGTTACATAGATGTGGTTGAACTTCTGTTAGATAAAGGATGGAGCATGCATAAAACAAATCATTTAGGTTGGAATGCTTTCAGAGTGTCAATTGGTAGCAGAATGCAAGGTCGATTAGAATATAGAATCAAAGTGTCAAAACTTTTACTTAATAAGGGAAGTGATGTGAATGTTGTTGACACAATGGAAGATGATGCTTTGATGCATGCGTCATGTGTATCAAGTCCAGAGATAGTGAATGCTTTAATTAGTAAAAGTAGCAATGTAAATCGTTGTAACAAAAATGGAAAGAATGCTTTAATTTACGCAACAGAAGCAAAAATGGAAGAGAATGCTCTAATTTTATTAAATGATGGAAGTGAAATTAATCAAGTTGATATTGATGGCAACAATGCATTAATCATTGGATTACGCAATGGACTTAAACAAGTGGTAAAGAAGCTTTTAGATAAAGGTTGCTGTGTTAATCAAGTAAATAAAGAAAATCAAACTGCTTTGATGCTAGCAGCTGCCAATGGTTATGTTATTTTTGTAGAAATGCTTCTCCAAAAGGAGTGTGAAGTAAATGTAATAGATATTTTTGGATGTAATGCATTGATGCTTGCATCAAAAGGAGGGCATGAAAAAATTGTTGAAATGTTACTTGAAGCAGGTAGTGAAGTCAATATTGTTGACAGTGATGAGCGTAGTGCTTTAATGTTGGCATCAATAGTAAGAAATTTAAATATTGTCAAAATGCTTACTAGCACTGAATGTGATGCTCACATAGTTGATAAAGATGGAAGGAATGCTTTGATGCTGGCATCAGATAATGTAGATCAAACAATAAGCAAAATTATGTTACAGAAAACACAAGAAGAGAGAGAAATTTTCATTCAAACATTAATTTTCAATCAATTAGAAATAGTGAAACTATTAATTAATAAAGGAGTTGATATCAATGTTGTTGATTGTACTGGATCAAACGCTTTAGTGTCAGCCTCAAGGTTGGGTTATGAAAAATTAGTTGAGTTTCTTCTGACTTTTGACGTTCATGTAAATCAAACTGATAACCTAGGAGCCAGTTCTCTGATACATGCAGCATTTCATGGATTACCTGATATGGTTGAAATGCTGCTAAATAAAGGTAGTGATATAAATAAAATCACATTAATGGGTGATAATGCCTTAATAATAGCTTCATGTGAAGGCCATTATAAAACTGTAGAGCTACTGCTCAAAAGAGGGATCAATGTTAATCATGTTGGAAGAGAGGGATGGGATGCTGTAGTTACAGCTCTACTGCATGATCACGACAACGTGGTCGAATTAATTCTTAGGAATATTACTGTGGTCCATGTAAGGAACTTATACATGCTAGAGGTAGTTATGATGGCTTTAGAAAAGGCAAAATTTAATGTTATTGAAAAGTGTCAAGAATATTTGAATACTCACAAGAGCGGGATAAGACAAAGGGAGTTGAACATAGTAAAGAAATTATTTGCTGCCTCAAAATGGATTTTTCAAAGTAATCGTAAACGAGCAGTGTTAAAACAAGGTAAATAAAGTTAACCAATGTAACCTTTCGCTCTCTGTATCTCTTTCTATTTCTCTATTGTTATATATGTATGTATATTTATATATATAATATTTTATTTGTGTTCAGAGGAAAAACATCCATATTAATATTAATTTTTATAACAAAAAAATGTATTTCTTTTAGATTTTATGACTGAGATTTTGGGATTAGAAGTACAAACAGACAATGCTTTATGTGGTATTAAAAGGTAAATGTTAATAATACATTTATTTGTGTGTGTGTGTAAAATATAAATATATATATATATATATATATATATATATATATATATATATATATATATATATATATATATATATATATATATATATATATATTAAGAGAGAGAGGGGGGAGAGAGAAAGAGAGAGAGAGATGTGTATATTTGTGTGTGTATATTTTCCTAGATTTAGGATGTGTAAGATATATTGTTTCTAAACAAATTTTGAATCAGACATGATTCTATTTGCCTTTTGTAGTAATCTTGGTTTACATAATAAGACATTTTAAGCTAAAATTTCTTTTATTCAATATTTCAATTAAAAATTATGTTTGATATTATATTCTATTTGTGTGGTAAGTTAAGAATGCAGTTAACTACAATCATTTTAGTAGAAAAAAAAAGAATTGTTAAATAAAATTGCAAGTTTGTTATTTTACAGGTCACTCAATATTTTTCTGACTACCACTTTACACAATTATCAGCATCAGGTAATTATTTCTTGTTCCAACCCTTTTTGAAGTACGGACTGTGAATAAATGAATAAATAAATGATTAATTCTAGTTATGTAAAATTATAAGATAATTTAATTTACACATGTACTGACTTATTTTTTACTAATCACCCTTAAACAAATATTGATAATATTTTATAGCCATTTATATTTAAGTTTTTGAAGGAATAATTTTTCACTTATTCAGTTTCATTTTTTTAACATTTACATCTTCATTGTTAATTTAATATTTCATGTTAACAAAATGTTGGCAACATGTAATAATGACAAAACATATGAAACTATTCTATTGATAGTGCTTGATTATTAATTAAATATTTAAAGTATTTAAAAAAAATTATAATGATATAAATGTAGGGGATGCTTGCATAGTTTGTAATATACATTAGTTTTACAATTATGTTCAGTTTTAATTTGTTTTGAGTTCATGTTTTTTTTTTGCTAGGTACCGACATGTGAGGAACTGTTGGGATGTGTTTCTGATATTATGTCAGAGTATACCAGTATGAAACAATTTGATGCTCTGAATTTTTTCGTCTACCAAAAAACCTTGCACATGTTGTACATTGAATTTTTTATTAAATACAAGGATAAAGTCACAGATTTCTTTTCCCTACTTCTTGAACACAGTTACCCAGGTATATTAAAGTTTAGTAAAATTGTCTTAAGGATCTCATTTTAATTGCATGCATGCATGTTTTATTCACAATATTGTTGCACACATGTATTAATTATCTTGTTATGCAATTTTTAAATTGTTTGTTTATTAAAGTTATTTTAGCTGAAAGTACTTTATTATTTTTTACTAAGTTTCGAACTGCAAAACTGCTGATTTTAAAAAAAATTATTTTTCACATCAAATTTTTAGATCTGACCATTGCTCATATGAGGGAAGAAGACCTACTTAATACTGTGTCACCTAATTGTTCCATCACTGTTTGCCACTATCCACTAGAAATATTAATAGGAGGGACTTTTTGCAGTGTAAATTTCTCATTGGTAAAGTTGTTTAACATTGTTTAGTGATGTTTTCAACTCTAATTCGGTATTGAACATTTTCTTGTAAATATGTATTCTTTTATAAATGCAGTAAATTAGATACCCAAAAATATTTATTTTTCAGAAGTTGGTCAATGTAGATGCTTTGAAATTGTTTACTAATTACCTACACTCACAAAAAGGGCAGGTAATTGTACTATTGTGTGATTTTAAAAAGAGTACCATTATATAATAATAATATTACATATTGTTTTATTACTCAGTTTATTGTGTATATATTAGTCACATGTAAAACATTAGAGTTCCTGATGTAAAGGTGAAATGTGTTTTACATCAGAATATATCATTTACAGCAATGACACACACTACTGCTCTGTAAATTTAAAAATTTCTCAGAACAGACATAGTAAAACTTCTATTGACTAGACCAAAATATTTATGGAAACTTATATATATATATATATATATATATATATATATATATATATATATATATATATATATATATATATATATATATATATATATATATATATATATGTCTTTTAGTATAATGCATATTTTAAACTCGAATAAGATAAGTCTCTTGTGTTTCAAAGTTTAAAGAACTGTATTTTAATCCAACAAATTATATAAATACTAAAATGGAGCTATTTAACTATTGTGTGTGTGAAGTTTTCCTGTAACAACATCATTTATCTACACATCCATTTACTACTTTCAGATTCACACATCATATTATGTTACCAAGAATATTATTGGAATATTATTCAACATGTCAAGAAAAGAAGAATTGAAAAAATATTTTACATCCACTGACATAAAAACTGTAAGTAATATCTAAATTTTGAATCTTTTCTTATTCTGTATTTTTTATCAATTTCATGTTGTTTTACTGACTAAACTCAGCAATGTTTATAATTCTCATTTTCGTGCAGGCACTTTTGGATATAACTTTTTGTGATGACATATTAAAATTAAAGCACTGGCTTATTCTAGAACAGGAAAAAAGTAAGTTGATAAAAGCACCCAATTCTTGTTTTACGGCAAATGATTCAGGCGGGCAACGGTCAGAAGAAAATAACAAACCAGCTCAATAAAACAATCGGCACATACAATTGAGTCAGCTAACGAGTTCACATACACGAGTTACACATACACATTTACTACGGGAAGTCACTCTCTGCTCTTTCAAAATGCTTACCTTTTAATTTGACTATCATCACAAAGTTTTCTTAAAAATACTGTTACAATTTAGACTAATCACATATTAAGCAAGAGGCATAAATCAGTGTAACATTCATCTTTCTCTTATATGACCACATCTCCGCAATAATTGTAAGAGAATTAACATTATTTTTAAAAATGTAACAAATAGCTAAATTAATGACATTTATATTCTACAGGTAATGATTCACATTTACGTGATTTAATTCAAAAGGGAATTGGTCGGTATGAAAATTTTCCTCTTTCTATTTTTCTTCAAGCATTTGCTAAGCTTGTAAGAAATCGGCTAGAAAATATTGAGGTATGTTCTTTGGCATTTTTTTAGGAGAATTTTGTTTGACTAGCCTCTTATAAATGTCATAAATCACAGTAAAATTTTAATTTATGAACATATATTATTTAATTTCATAAGATTTTTAAGCCTACTAATTTGCAGTTGTAACCTAGTTGTTTTTGTGTCACTGCTAAAGTTTGAATCCTGACATTCTATACAGCATCCAGGCATTGAATAAAATTCTGGTTTAAAAGAAAATTGTTCTTCTTATTTTTACCTAAACCAGCTTAGTCTCTCCAGAAATTGTTGTACGTGATAGGCCAAGTGTTATTTGAACACTCTTGATAAACAATAAATACTGTGCATGTAAAGCGACAATTTTTTAACAAGCCTGTCATTTTATTTTTGTTTAAAAACATTCACAACTTTTACATAGCATTCAATGAGGATGTCTTCTTTCATCTTTATAAATATTGTTTTCTAACATCTTTCCATAGTGACTGTTCATATGTGGCCTAGGAGGGTGCTTGTTATTCAATAAAATGCCTAAGCTTTATTAAAATATCTAATAAAAATTATTATTTTGTAGATAGCATGAAAACAATTAGCATTTTTTTTAATAGCCTGCATTTATAAATTTTCTGGTTATATTAAAAAACATATACCTGTAAGACTATAAAATGTTACAACTTTAAGACAATTTAAATAATTTACAAGTCATTATATGTGAATCCTCTTTGATTTGTAGATTACTCCAGTTATTGAGACCCTCACACAAATTATGGTCTTTAATAGCATTGAAGAAAAAGAATGTGCTAGTGAATGTTTAAAAGAGTTGGGCCCTGGTGAAAAATACAGTCATGAGATCATAACCAATGAAAAATTGGCGTACAACCTACAAAGGCAGCGCAGTTCCCAGACCAGCACTATTTCATCCAATATCAATTCAATGTTTTGGACAGCTGGAAATGCCACTGGAATTTTACCTACAATACCAGGTATATAGAAGCTGTGTTTTTTTTTTAATCGTGACAACATAGAAATTTTTAAAAAGTTACTAAATAACCTAAAAACTACGAGCTGAAAATTTATTTCATTCAAAGTTAAAATGTTTTGTCAAAGACACTACTTAGGCTTATTCCTATGCATTATCTAAAAAATTGTTTTTTAAATCTTGCTAAACTTATATTAACTTTTCTTAAAATTTATAAACAGATAAAGTTGTTTCTGGAGAATTCCCCCAAAACTTTGACTTAGAAGTGACATCCATTGGTCGAGGTACATTTGGTAGTGTACACCTGGTCATAGATTTGAATAAACCTGATGAAAAGAAATTTGTCGCCAAAAGACTTTTGCTCAGTAAATTAAACAAGTTGGTAATAATACAATATTGGTTTTACTCATGTTTTTATTGATTTTAAGAGTAGTCCTAAATTAAATTAAACAAAATAGTTATAATAAAATATGTACTCAATTGATATTAATTTTAAGAATAGTCCTAAATTAAATTTAACAAAATAGTTATAATAAGCTATAATAAGTTATTGCTTTCACTCAAATGTTATTAATTTTAAGAAAAGTCCTAAATTAAATTAAACAAAATTGTTACAATAAAATATTGCTTTTACCAATTTTACGCAAGTTTTATTAATTTTAAGAATAGTCTTAAATAGTTGAGTTCCATAACAATATACATTTAATGATTATAAAAAAATATTCTTATGCATTGCATGATCTATAAAGCAACAACTAAGAAACATTTACCTAACTTTGGGATATTTAAAAATAATTTTCATTTTATTCATCAGGAAGCTTTTTCAAATGCAGCTTCAGTCCTACTGAAATAATTTTTGTTCTATTCATAAGGAAACTTTTTCAAATGAAGCTTCAATCCTACTGAAATAATTTTTATTCTATTCATAAGGAAACCTTTTCAAATGAAGCTTCAATCCTACTGAAATAATTTTTATTCTATTCATAAGGAAACCTTTTCAAATGAAGCTTCAATCCTAGTGAAATATTTTTTGTTCTATTCATAAGGAAACCTTTTCAAATGAAGCTTCAATCCTACTGAAACTAAAGCATAGGCGTGTTGTTCAATTTCATGGATATAAAAAGGATGGTGATGATGTTTTAATATTCATGGAGTATATGAGACAAGTAATGTTTTTTTTTTAATTTTTATATTGTTGAAATTGATGTTACTAATATTGGCATATTTTTACTTGGTATGTACATTTTTTTTTCCTTTAAATTAATTAATTTATATTGTGTATAACTAATCAATTTTATTTTGATGCCTATTTAGGGTACCCTCACTTCATTTATTTCCAAGAGAGGTAATTTGGATGAAAAATGTACTCAACACTTTACAATCCAAATTCTTGAAGCTGTAAACTATTTGCATGAAAATAATATTCTGCATAGAGATATTAAGGGTATTTATTTTATTTACACTTTTGTAAACTGAAAGCATATGATAAATAATCATCTAATTATTTCCTTGAAGTAGGTATTGCAACGTAAGAAGTTTAAAAGTTGTCTAATGTTAATATCAAGTTACGTTGTGGTTGGTTGGTAGAACTTATGACTGCTAACTATCAAGTCATGAGATTGATTTTGTTGGATGTCCCTGAGCCTACACAGCTCTGATAAGTACCTGACTCATGATAGGTACAGAAAAGTGACTGGGCATTGTGAGGATCACACTATCCATCATATGATAAGACCATTGAAAGAGATGAACTCTAATTCATCTGACCCATGTATCTAGAACATGTGTATCTTGAACATGAATGGGAAAATATGTTGATGAAGTTAATATCAGAATATTTATAGTTACTTGAAAAACAAATGGTTACAAACCTAGAAAGAAAAATGATGATGTTTGTAATTTTATACAATATATTTATTTTTAAACTAAAACAGGTAATAATATTTTGATGGTGGATGAGTCAAACATCAAATTAACTGACTTTGGTCTCTCAACAATTTTCAATGAAGAAGAAGGGGTTAATGCAGGAGGTGGCACAATTCAGTACATGGCTCCTGAGTTGATTACATGCTCTGAGGGTGAAATTTTAAAGAACGCAACTAGTCTGGATATATGGTAGTTACTTTTCATTTCTCTTGTTCAGTCTTTGTTTGTTTTGATAATATTTATTTCAAAACACAAAAAAGTGATTATCTATTTATTTATTTTGATATATCTCTTTTTCTAACTGGTTATGATTTCATTTTCTTACATTATAAGTAAGTTGAGTAACCCAGCATAAGGCTGATGATGTAGAATTCACATGCTTCTTAACCTTAGCGGATGATGTGATTTTGTGTTCATCACTATGCATATTTCTTTCATTTTATCAACATTGATTTTTTATACTAAAATTCTATACTAAAATAAGAACTATTTCAAAACAATTTTTAACTACCAAAATCTCAAGTATTATGCGATTTTAAGAGTATATGTATTTTATGTTTTAACAATTTAATTAATTCTTGATGTCACAGTTTTAAGTAGCATTGAGACATTAACATTATTATGATAACTGCTATTGTTAACTTTTAAATTAGAAACATAATTCAAATTAATAATAATTATACTAATGGCCTTTGTAAAAAAACATTTCCATAGTGAGAAGTACTTACATAATTTTACATAACTGTAGTGTAGGTTCTTGCCTTCTGCAACTGTGTTTGCCCTAAACCCATATGGTAGTTGAAGTAGAGTCCATCTGTTTAAATTACCTTGGCATGCATAAAGACAGTGTAGTCGGCAGTTTGACCAGCCATCTTTGTTTCCCTAATGTGAGTCATGCACCCATCAGACCGAGACAAATTTAGGGAAGTCTCACACAAGCCCAAACTTGAGATTTTATTGCTAGCATTCATTAACTCTATTACCTAACCACACCATCCCCACACACATTAAATAGATGCTGAGAAAAATACTAATAAAAGTAATAATATGATAAATAGATTTTGAGGGGAAAATTGTTCTGATAATCTAATAAAAAATAAAAAGTGTATCATTTATTTAATTACATTTTTATTAAAGACCAAACAACCTAATATACTTATAACTAAAATACAATGCATAATATTCATTAAAGTAAAAGTAAAAAAAAAAGTAAATTTCGCTTTTCAAACCTGACGTTCTATAGGGCAAGCTAAGTATAGTTAGGGTTGCCAGGTGTCCAGTTTTGAACTGGACAGTCCAGTATTTGAGCAGACTGTCCAGGATAAAATAAATATAAATACTGGACAAGTATATGAATAATACTCTGTTACCCCCCTTCTTCTGCTTTGCGGCATACCTGAGAAGGCAAGGATGGAAAGGTGTCCTAAGTACAGTTCACTTGTTTCTGTGACCTCGGCATATGAAGAGATAGTGTGGTCAGCACTATGCCCAGCCGCCTTTACTTTCCCTAATGTCAGTTAGGTACCCATCAGAGTTGGGTGGACTCAGGGACCGTCTACTGAATTGAACCTGGATTTGAACTCGAGACTTGCAGGTTAGCAGTCCAACTCTCTACCGCTAGACCACACAGTCCTGAGTGGTACTAGGTGGTTCTAAACAGAGTTTCTTCCAGGCATCTCTTCGGGGGGGCCTAGCCCCCCTGAAATTTTTTTACCGCGCCCCCCCCCCCCCCCCCCCCGAACGAAATGAAATTTATATAATTTATATAGAAAATATATACTTTTAACAGTGTCCGCCCCCCGAAGAAAGTCTACCGCCCCCCCAAAAATTTTAAGTGCCCCCCCCCCGGAGAAAAAAGTCTGGAAGAAACACTGGTTCTAAATTCAGTTAAAATCTGACATACAATTAAAATTTTTACTAGATCTATAAAGTGGAATCTAGTGGTAAGTAGAAAGTAGGTCTTGCCCTATAGAATAGGCCTAGCTTTGTAAGGAATTAGCTAGTATTTTGTATGGTTTAAAACCCACCAAATTCAGAAAATTTAGGGGATAGAGTGGTCTAGTGGTAGAGAGCTGGACTGCTAACCCATAAGTATCAAGTTCGAATCCGGGTTCAAGCCAGGGAGCTTTACTTTAGTACTGTTAAAGTTGAGTACTATAGTGAATTATAATTTTTGGATTGATTGTTTAAGATAGTTAAGAACCACTCGGCTATACTTAGCTATAGTATTACATTAATAGTAACATCAAATGTAGGGCCTGTGTACCTGTATCAATTAACTTATGCCATGGGGCTTTTGTTAAGTTAATTTGTCAGTTGTTGAGTTAAATGTTATCATCAGTTTTATTTGCTTACAGGAGTGTAGGCTGCACTGTTGTAGAAATGCTTGTAGGCAAACCACCACAAAGCTCTTTGCTAACACCACAAATTGCCTATAGAACCTTTCAAGGAGAACCTCTAAAATATCAACTGCCTGAATCATCTTCAGCTGACCTGAAAGAGTTTTTGAACAAGATTTTTCAGAGTGATGCACAGCTGAGGCCAACAGCTGATTGGCTGTTGAATAATGAGCCATTTGTTAGAGTAACCATTAGTGATGGAGATGTCTAGTCTAAAGATGGATTTGATAATGATATAAGTTAAATGTATCTGGTAAAATATGTGATTTCAATTGTTACTATAAATATGTAAATATGTTTATACACACACTTTGATGCTAAGCATGTTTAGTAGATAATCCAATTATTAATATATACTTATTTAAAAGTACTGGTACTGGCATTATAAGTTAAGTATATTGATATTTTATTCAAAGAACATTTAAAATAAAAAAATCCATTTTTAAAATTATCACTATATATGAAACCTATCATAGTTTACTACTGGTGCTAAAACTTTTATATAATGAAACATGTATTAAATTTAATATTTAATTTCTAAAAGCTCATACATTTTTTTGTGGTTTATACTTGACATTTAAAAAATATTTATGAGGAAAATAACTAAAAGTTAATTCACAAATTACACAAGTGTTTTTTAAGTAATTTTATTTATAAATAGTTAATAATTTTAATAAATATATGTTATTACATTTTACAAATATGTAATGTTAGCCATAATTTACACATAATAAATGTGATATTTGATCCTTATGATCTAAGTAATTTTAAAGTAATGTATTGAATATGCATTATATTTTTCTAATTATACTTCTCTTCCTATTTTTGATGTTTAATTCTTTATATGTTGATATTAAAAAAATTAAGGAAAAATTAATCAATTTTATTGGTTGGTATGTGTCTAATGTTTTGGCTTGTAAAACAAAAGAATAATATACATATTATGAAAGTATGATTTACTACTATGGCCCATAGGATGTCCCTGAGACCACCTAGCTCTGATGGGCACCTGACCCGCATTAGAGAATCAAGGCAATTGCAAATAGTACTGACCACATTGTCCCCTTGTTTGCAGACGTTTTTAAACCAGATGAGCTCTACTTTATCTGCTGCCTTTGCTTTGAACATGAACTGGAAAAAATATTGTAATGATGAAAACAATGATTTTAACAATTATACCCCTGAATTATTTTGTCTAGAAAATGAGAAACTGAAATTATTTTAAACACAATATGTTGTTACTGTTTACATGTTACTTTATTATAAGATGTGAAAAAAAGAAACGTTGTTTAATACAGTTTTCTGTGTTAAATAAAAAGAATTGATTTAATAAACTATCATTGTGTTTACTTTGTTAAAAGTTATGTATAATTGCTTTATAAAAGCAAGCAGAACATATACATTTGTGTGAAATATGATATATTTTAGAGTATTATATTTTAAAATACTTTATGAAATTTAAACGAAGTAACACTGAAAACAATGGTGCAGCATATGGTAAAGTATGATATTTCTTGCATAGTCTGTCTATGTTGGTAAGTGAAAACATATCGTTTTAAATTGGCGTCTACAAGAAAAAAAAATAACGTATGAGTTAAGCAATATGTGAATATTTGTGATTAAAATATATATCAACGGTGACATATTTCAACAGCACCCTTGAATGATCGATCTAATGAGCCTACATTGTTCACTGTCCTAATATAGCACTTATAATTTATCGATTATATTTTTTTTGGTGGGTTGAAAAATCAATTAAACTTCAGTGTAACATAAAACCAATCAACGTATCGTGTCGACCGATCAACGTGTTAGACTGATATTAATAGAATGTGGCCTCCACAAAGCAGTGTGTGACCTTTATAGTTCCCGGTGTGTAGCCTAAATGTGCAGTACTCAGACATATATTTGTTTTGTAGCACGTTTTGCATTATTTAGATTTTATTTTTCTGCGATGCATTTTTAATTGTTTTTTCTACGAATGTTCATGTTGTGTAATTCTGATTCTTGTTTCAAGATGTACTTAATTTGTTAAAATATCAACGTTGTAGCAATTATTTTTGCGAACTCAAAGCATACAGACATTATATTTAAACGTCAAGCAGTTGTTTTTATTGTAACTCGTGATAAGATGAATTCTAGATACAGTAATGCAGAAAAAGGAACCATAAAAGAAAGTGAAACTGAACGTGGATTAATTTGGTTTTAGCAGTATCAATTGTAATTAAAGTTTTGCTTGTAGATTTGGTAAGTTTTTATTTTTTTTTTATTTTTTAACAATGTAGGTTTATAACCTATATTAAAATGAGACGTCATTTTTAAGATAAAATATAGTTGTGGAAAGAGATACAAAACATATACTTCATGTTACTATATGATGCTAGCTGTATAGTGCTTGTTTAAAATAATGTGTGTTGATTTCTTATAATAAAGCTATTTTTTCCAAATATTAATTAATTGACAGTCTAATATGTAGATTATGTTTTTGAAAATGTAAACGGAAGAAAATGGTGGAGTATTTTAAATATTTTCTAATTAAATTTATTTTTGGAAAATGACGCCAAGTCACTTGTGAATTCTCAATTGTCAGTCTGATATGCTTAAATTTTTAGATTGTTCGGTAAAAGAACAATTCTTAGATTCATCCTTAAAATATATGAAGCAGTAATTCTATACAAATACTTTAATTCCAGATTTTCAGCAATGTCTACAAGAAACGATAATCTAACTAAAGATTTGATAGACGCTTCAAAGTATGGAGATATAGAGAAAGTAAAAAAACTACTTAAAAGTGGTATAAATGTTAACAGAAAAAACAGTCTCGGTCGAAACGCGTTACTGTACGCATCTCATTTTGGCCATACAAGTATTGTAAAGGTATTGTTAAAACACAATGCAAGTCTCACTGACGTTGATAACGACGATTGTAATGCTTTGATTTTTGCTGCACAGAAAGGGCAGACAGAAGTTGTTAAATATCTCATTGAGAAAGGTGCCGATATTTATTGCATCAACAGATTTCATAGAAATGCTTTAATGGAAGCCAGTTTTAATGGTCGAACAGAAACTGTTGGATTTTTATTGTCTAAAGATTTTAATATAAAACAGACGGATAATGATGGAGATAGTGCACTGTTGCTTGCTTGTCAAGCTGGACACCTCAGTACTGTTGAATTACTTTTACAACATGAAGCAAGTTTGACTGAAGTGAATAAAGATGGATACAACGCTTTATTAAATGCTGCAAGATGCGGTCACACAGAACTTGTAAAATTTCTTATTAAGAAAGGCTCTGATATTAATTGTGTTAATAAATCTCATAGAAATTCATTAATGGAAGCATGTTTTAATGGACACGAAGAAACGGTTCGTTTATTACTTACTCAGAATGTTAATATCAATCAAATGAACTGCTATGGGTATAATGCGTTATTAATAATTGCTTGTGAAAATAAACAAATCGAAATAGTTATGTTACTTTTGCAATATCAGGGAAGTCTGAGTGATGCAACTAAGGAAAGATTTAACACTTTGATACAAGCTGCATTAAAAGGTAACACAGAAATTGTTACATTTCTTATTGAGAACAATACTACAAGGACGGATAATGAAAAAGAAAGCGCGCTGTTGATTGGGTGTGTAGTTGGACATCTAAGTATTGTTGAATTACTTTTACAACACAGAGCTAGTCTGATTCAAGTAGATGGTAATGGATTTAACGTTCTGATCAGAGTTGCAAAAGGCGGTCACACAGAATTTGTTAAATTTCTGTTTGAGAATAGACCTGACATTAATTGTATAACTATATTTTAGAAAAATGCTTTAATAGAAGCATGTATCATGGGACAAACATAAATTGTTCAACTTTTACTGACAAAATACTTTAATATCCATCAAATGACCCGATGTGCGTACACATCTACTGCGTTATTGCTTGCTTATGAGAAGGGACACATAGGTATTGATAATTACTTTTACAATATAAAGCAAGTTTTACTGCAGTGTTAAAAACTGTACAGGGTAATTGAAAGATGGAGGGGGGAGGGAAAATGTTATGCTCCAGAATAATAGTTATATTTAAATACATGAATGCAAGTAACGTAATGCAAGTAATCAATCTTTACATGCATATTTAATTGTTAAACGTATAGCTAATTTAACATGTTAACATTAATTTAATAAAATAAACCTCATTTTATTACAATTAGGGAACTATCTAGTTTAATTATATAAATCACTATTCTTATAGAAATTTAAGTATAGTGTACAACTTCAAAAAATAAAACGCTTAATGTGTTCTGAAAAATAGTTCGACGGTACAAAGTCATTTTATTTTCTGCTGTATCTTTTCATTTAAAAAAAAAACTATAATCAGTATACAACAAAAATCAAAAGATTTCGTACACACATAATGCATACAAAATATAATAATACTGTTTAACACAACTTATGCAGTATACATTAGTTGTTCCTTTAATTTAAAATTAAAATTTTAATATATTTTAATTTTATATTTTCGCTCCTTGCAGATGACTAGTTTTTCAACCTACATTTTTATAATAATTTAGACTTGCATTATGATGAAGGAGTAATTTAACAATGTTGAGATGTCCAGCGTCTGAAGCGAGCCATAACGCATCATGTCCCTGTATGTCTTTTCTTTTCTTGTTTATAGACGTTGTCAGTAAAAAGTTTACAGTTTCAATATGTCCAATATAAGAAGCCTCCATTAAAGCGTTTCTACCAGATGTATTAACATGATTTATTGGAACATTTTGATCCATTAAAAATTTTACAACTTCTGTTCGACCGCCACTTGCAGCTTTTAATAAAACGTTATATCCATAATTATTTACATCATCGAGACTAGCGTCATGCTTTAATAGCAGTTTTACAGTACTCAGATGCCCTGCCCCTGCGGCCAGCAGTAATGCAGTGTTCCCATTGATATCCCTATGCTTGATATCACAAGAAGCGTTTATTAAAAGTTTTACGGTATCGTCGTGTCCTTTAAAAGCAGCTTCCATTAAAGCATTTCTGCCAAACTGGTTGGTGACAGTAACGTCGAAGTTTTTATCTAACAAATGTTTCACAAGTTCCGTGTTGCCGTCTTGTGCAGCTTGTAGAAAATCATTTGATACTTTACTATTATGTTCATCCATAGTTGGGTTAGTTTCTATAGTTGTTTAATTGTTCCATAGTTCTGAACGAAATAAATTTAAAAAAAAAAATGTTAGTTATCTTTTATTGTTATTTGAATCGTAAGTATAGTAATATTAATTTTATAGTATTATCTCTATGTAAACGATACATTTTTTTAAATTTACAAATCACAAGAATATTCTGTATAACCAATACACTTGGGAAATATGTAGTAGAGTAATATAACGTTTACTTTTGGTCTTGTGGTCGACCTATTGATCATTTATTCTACCGAATTTGCACATTGGTTAAAAACATGGTCAACCTAGTTAGTTTATTCATGTTAACCTCTAAACGTAATTTAAATATACATGTAAACTCGCAAGCTAGTTACAGTACACTTAAAAACGAATCAAACATACAATTAAACATAATTAAACTATACGTATTAATTCAAAACATAATTAAAATTTAACCAGTTACCTCAAATTATACTTCATGTTGGTAGACGTAAATAGCAACTTGTTATTTATTCAGCTCACATATGTGAAATTCCCGATATAACATGTTTTCAGCAATGTTTTGAAAGCCAGTAACTCACGATCATTTTTCCCAAAAAGATATTTATAGAAAAGTTATTTTTGGATTTTCCGAAATCTTGTTCTTATACTTAACGGGTCATTTGAAGGTTAGTTAAAAAAAGTCTCTAACAAATAGGCAGTTAATCTTCCAGACTTTTCTCTCCAGGGGGGGGGGGGGGACTTGATATTTTTGTGGGGAGGGGGCGGACAACATTTTCCGGGGGTGGGGGAAGGACACTTGTAAAAATATATGTTTTCTATATAAATTTCATTTCGTCCTGGGAGGTGGCTGTAGACTTTATTCGGGGGGGGGGAGGGGAAGAGTCCCCCCCCCTCCCCGAAAAGATGCCTGGAAGAAACTGTGACGTGGGAGAGAAAAATGGTCGATTCTGTTTTGCGGTCGGACGACAAATCATGTTTATGTTAATTCAAAATTAGCGTTATCAATTTTAAAAATGAGTCTCATAAAAAGGTTATAAATCTATAAGTGTATTTTCTGTCAATGTGTATTTCGGGTCTAGATACGATGCTTGGGTCTGTAGGAAAAAAAAATAAAGTTCCCTTTCAAACCTCACGGTGAAGTAGAGTTCACCTGTTTCTGTGACCTCGACATATGAAGGGATATTGTTATTAGCACTATGCCCATCCGCCTTTACTATCCCTAACGTGAGTTAGTTAGGCCTACCCTCCAGAGCTAGGTGACTTAAACCCGGATTCAAACTATGTCTCTATGAGGTCTTTTGTATGCATTCAACTCTGATGAGTAGCTGTCTCAGGTAATGGAGAGTAAAGGAGGCTAGGCACAAAACTAACCACACTTTTCTTTAAATGCCGTGGTCACACAAATAGGTAAACCCTACTCCATCTATATACTTTGTGGTCGTAAAGAGTTACTTTACATGTTATTTCATTAGCAGACTATATGAACATTTTAAAAACTGAAACCATGGTATAAAATGCCTCGCTGTTTGCGTTTTAAACGATAAGGACAGAATTCCAAGAAAGGAACTGCTGGTTTTATTTACAGAAGAAACAAAGATTGCTCAACATTGAATCGATGCAATCAATACTGCTAAGACATGATATCGATCAGACTGTATAGTATCGATATATTGGTTAGCTTCATTCTTTCAGCTTCTAAATATAGACATTTGAGATGATTGTTGCAAGTAGATCGCGTTCAACGTGTTTTCATTTTTATTCCATTTGTTACCTTCAGTTTGAATGTAAGTATTTGTGATCCGCATATACAAGGCCCAGGTGTATATCTAGGTACTGTGTAAGGATGTGCAATAGCTTATTCTAGCCTCAGTAGCTGGGATACCACACGCTCAAGTTCGGTGTACTAAAAAAATCACGATTTATAACATTTGTTATACGTAGGCAATTTGCAAAAAAAAAAAAACAAAAAAAAAACAACAACAGATGTGTATTAAAAAGTAATATAGTTCCGTCATATTACTATTTTTTAATTCAGAGTTTACATGCTTGAATATATGTATACTTTTCATTTACTTTCAGTTAACTGACGTTTATTTTGAAGCCTTATTTTTTAAAAATACAAATATTTTGAAAATAGATTCGACTCATTTATTCGTATATTATATACCTGTGAGTATCAAACATATTTATTATTATTATAATACACATCAATGATTACATGTTTGTTTTTATATTGTAAGCCTGTATCATTACTTGTGCCTTTTTATATTTTTTTAAAAATTGGTTTTCCAGTATTTGCTCTTATTGATTGTAATTGTACTGTTGTTTTGTAGGTTGAATAAGAAAAGGTTAGGATAGTCTCGAACTTAGTGGAGAGTGTGCGTGTGTGAGTTGAGTTAACCCCGGGGTGTTTATGTATTTTTACCACCAAGGATAAATCCCGGGATAAAAGCGGAATGGACGAAAGTTAAGGGGCTTTTTGGTGGCAACTAGTATAGAGTACGTTAAGTGGATTTGTTAATAAAGGCGATCTGTTCAGTGGTATGGAAGTAGGTCACAACAATAGAAAATACACATATTTGTTAAATGACATAAAAACCTATTTTTTATAAAACAGATTAATTTGAAGAAAATGTCTCGCAACCGAAAGCACGTAAGGCGTATACAAACTTTAATCAACCAATTCCAAGAAGAAACAGAGAGCCTACAGATGACCATTGATAATTATTTTACAACGGTAAAATATTCCTTTAATCTATCTCTATTTTTTTTTTGTATTTGTTACCAGTTATTCTACTTTAAACACTTTTTCAGATTTTCAATGAAGCAAACCAATGGGTTACCAAACCAGGAGACAGTAATAAAAGCTTTAAAGAAATGTCAACTTTACTGAAAGACGGGATTCAGTGTGTTATGGGCACAATGGGGACAACATCTGGTAAAACATACACAATATTTTCAATAAATGAAAAATATGAAGTATAACCGAACGAGGAGTCAACATAATATATAGATAAAGCTCATCATCTTCTTCTTCTTCGTTCTTAATTTTAGTGTTGGAAGTAATCCCCTCCAACACAATTAAGTACACGTGTCAACTGGTTATGCGCCATTGACTCCCATTTCAGCCTGCTTTCCTTTTTGGATTTGATTCCATAGCCTTTGTTACAACCAAGAACAAATTTCAAGGCAACAGTTGTTCTGCCGAACGCGAGACTTTTCGGTTTAGCAAAAATGAGTTTTACCGACCCGACCACGCCGACCCAGAGACGTAGCGAGGGGGGAAGGGGGGAGGGACATATGTACCCGAGCGCCAACCTTTACGGGGCCTCAAAATGGGTTGGAAAAACAAATTGAAAGTTTGAGGAGGGGGGGGGGTTGTGAATCAAAAGTTCGAGGACGGGGGTGTAAATCGAAAGCTTGAGGGGAGAGGGGGTGCGCCGACCCCTAGATACATCGTATGAGTAACGGAAAATTACTGTGCTGATATATATATATATATATATATATATATATATATATATATATATATATATATAGATATATATATAATATTCCTAGTGAAAAGTATGAGGATGGAGAAAAATGAAAATGAAGAAAGTGACGAATTGACTGATGAATCATACATCCAAAATAATGGACGACATTATTCAACAAGAGAACGTAAGACTTGCATTTTCATATGCGCTTATATTTTGATAAGAGCTAATAACTAGTACATGATTCATTTAAGCATAATAAATGGTTTTGCTTTCTAATTTTATTAAAACGTGCGGTAAAGAAATAGCAATTATGTTTATCGTCAAATAAAATAAAATTAATAAAATATTTCAAAACTTTGTATAAATAAATTAGTATTTTACAATTCAACATTAATGACGATTTAGTAGCTATTGCAATGTATATGCAATCAAATTGTATTCGGACATATTTCTAGAATAATTTACCCTTATACATTGTTTAACTTTGGCAAGAATTTAATTTAAACCTACTTGTTAATTTTGATCAAGTAATGTTACTTAGAAAACCATAAGAGTTTTATTATTATTAAACATCGTTTAATATATCCGAAATAACATAAGAGCATGTTACAAAAACGCCATCTAAAAGAATGGTAACTAAATAATATAGTATTTTTATTTATGTACGATACATTCTACTAATAATCAATTAATTAATGTAATTAATACAATACAATAAAATTAGAATATTTAAAGTTACATATTATATTCAGATATACACATCATTGTATTACTTAATTCTCAAACAATAGCTGGAGTTGTATTTTAAAATAATGCAATCATAATTATAATATTGAAGACTTGTTTTGTAAGTTACAGACCTTACATTGACGAATATATTAAGCCGACTTGAGAAACTCGAGGCAACACATTCTTCGGTTCAAGGCACACAACTAGTTGAAAACACGGAAACAAAAGCATGGAGAAACAATTTAGTCTTAAGACAACGTGAAAATGAAATACAGATCGAAATGATGACACATCAACACAAACAGGATTTGTATATGCTAAAGGAAGAAGTCAAGGAGGTTAATAATTGTGTTGAAGATCTAAAAATCGAGATCACATGCTTAAAAGAACAATTAATCAGCACAAATAAACAACAGGAAAACATACTTCTTAAAACCTCGACATTTGAAATAGACATTCACGGAGCAAGAGCAGATATGGAAAACATAAAACAAGAAATGAACGGATTATTAAGCAAGACTGGAGAATTGTCGCATGAAAACAGTAGATTAATCGATTCTACTAACAAACTACAAATGAAGGTTAAGTTCTAACAATATAAAAGTTTTTTGTAAAAGTGCTATGTTTCTAAAATATTTGGACTGTTAGGTCGGTGTACTACTCGCTAGAAGATTCCTTGTTTGGACCCTGGTTTGGAATCTAGACTTAAAGAGGCGACTGAGTCAACCCAGCTGTGATGGGTACCTGGCTTTTTTAGGGAAAGTAAAAGTGTGTGGGCATGGTGCTGATCACACCAGTGTATTTTTCTTTGGGGGGGGGGGGGGGTAACTTGATATTTTCGGGGGGGGGGGGGGGGGGAACAGCATTTTCCGAGGGGGGGGGGCGGACACTGGTAACAAAATGAATTATATATAAATTCAATTTCGTTCGGGGGGGGGGGGGGGGGCAGCGGTATAATGATACTTGGAAGAAACTCAGAAACTCTGGACCACACCATCTCTTTATATGCCGAGGTCTAGAAACGGGTGCACTCTACTTCATCTGCTTAAGGATCGTAATGTCTGAAATAAGAATTGCATATTGCTAATCTATGTCTAATCTACATAGTTTTGAAAAGTAATATATAATTTGTATGAGATTATTAGATTCTTGAACCAGCTTTTTGAAAACATTTTTAACTGCTATGATTATTAATTGTCTTTAGTCATGAAATTTAATCCACTATCACACGTTTTTTTTTAAAAATCTATTTTAAATTTTACAGTTTGGTGTTGTTTGCAAAATGCTACAACGCGGATTGATATCAATGTCTCAAATATTAAACCAGCGATCGGGCGATAGGAAACGATATCTAGACAAGGTATATTCAAACATTACATTAACGATGTATTCGTTTAACTCTGATTTAGTACAGATAATGCCATTTCTTATTGTGTTAATAAATTACGCTAAGGAAATGTGTCACGTATATTTAAATGTGTCCCAAAAAAACTATTCAAAGTTCTTTATGAAGTAATTTTTACGTTGTAGCTCTGTATTAAGTTTTAAGCGATTTCCGATAATCGAAATTGAAAATTATTCTACTTTCAATTTTTCAAAAGCCTATAACTTGAGTACTGTTTTGGATAGATCTAATTTCCTGCCTTCTTTCAAATTTTTAGTAATTTCTGTTGACCGGAAGTGGTAATTTACGCTTTCTCAAAAACGCATGTGACTTTATAAAGTACTAATAATATTCCGCACTATTTTACACACATTGTTTGGCGTTTATTTGGTGTGCAATTCTTTTTTTTCTACGAGATTCTATTATATTTTAAAAAGTATAAGTAATTAAAAATTGATTAAAAATTATGTCAATATCACGAGTTGCCGTCCCCCATAGTGTTATATAAGCATATTCGAGAATATTTAGAGGAGATCACTCGCGGTTAATTTGTTAGTATGATGCAATGCTTATTATTTTGCAACAAAGATTGAAGCACATCGATGCTTCGATGCAGTGTTTTAATGAAAGCGCTAGAAAAAAGGACAGATATACTAAAACTTACATGTATATTTTTAATAAATAGCCAGTTTTATAATGTGTCTAAATGTAATAAAAACATCTAAATTGCGGATTTATTTTTATTTTTAAACACCCAATTTATTGTTGGACTAAAAAGAATGGTTAGCGACGGAGTAGTCTAGCGGTAGTGAGCTTAAATGCAAAAGCGTAAGTCTCGAGTTCAGATAGGTAACAAGCTACCGTCAGTGTAAGTAAAGGCGGCTTGGCATTGTGCTGACCACATTATCCCTTTATATGCCGATGTTACAGAAATAAGTTAACTATACTTAACTAGTCGCGTAAACCGTCAGGTTTGAAAGGTAACTGTACCGTTACTTAAAACAAATAGTTATAATGATAAGAAGTATAGAACTAAAATAATAAATCTTCTATTTGTTAATTAATTAATGCAATGCATACGCATATACAGCTTATATATATATATATATATATATATATATATATATATATATATATATATATATATATATATATATATATAAATAATGGTATGTATTTAACTTATAAAAATGTGAAAAAATAATACTTACTTACTTAATCCTCATCACTCCCTGTGGAGTATAGGGCTGCAACAAATCTCCGCCATTCCACTCTGTCCTGGGCGAGCCACTTTAGTTCATGCCAGGTTTTGCCAGTAGCCTGTACTTCTTCTTCCATCTCCCTCCTCCATGTTCCCAGTGGTCTTCCTCTATTTCTCTTTCCGGGTGGGTTCCACTTCAGCGCCATGTTGGGGAGTCTTTTTTTGCTCATGCGTAGGACATGGCCCAGCCATCTCCATCTCCTCGTTCGAACCTCTGAGACAATGTCGTTTAATCCTGTCCTTCGCCATATTTCCTTGTTCGGGACTTTGACGTCCCACTTTATCCTGAGGATGCGTTGAAAAAATAATACATGTGTTTAAAGTAAAGAAAATTCTATAAATTAAATGAAAACTGTAGATCTTTTTCAAACACAATAAAATAAACAGGTAAGAATTATATTTTAAACAAGTGTCTTTACATCTATGAAGTGTGCACATTTACAAATTTTATTTTTGTTTTGTTTTAGCTGAAAGACATTAAAAAAGATGTTTCAAATTTGAAAACAGTCTTACACTCGTGTTGTGAGTATTAAACAACTTAAAATGAGTTAGCTTCATTATATTATGTTAATTTTTAAATACACATATACATTACTTTGGCCTTTACATATATTTTAATACAGTTTATAACATGCATTTTATTTTTATGTTGTTAACATATTCAACACCAATTACAATGTTATCTTTTTTTCCCCAGGTCAGTACCTACTTACTCCAACCGCCATTGGTTTTATAGCGAGTGATGGTTATGAAAGCCTAAACCATGACATCGTGTATCGTAGAGTCGAACGTAATGTTGGAAATTATTTTAATGTTAACACAGGCAGGTTTGTTGTTCCAGTGTATGGCCGGTATATCACAAGTCTTACGATTGAACAAAGAGGATGGTATGAAGTGAGAGTTCGTTTTGTTTATAGATCTGGTGGGCGCTTGTGGCACATCGGTAATATTGTAACAAAAGGACAGTATTTAAAAGAAACAATTACAAGCGTAGAAGTGTTCAACAGTGGTGCAGAATTGTACTCGTACGCAGAATCTGTTGATGCATACTTGACGGGTACTCATTTTTCTTGCTTTTTAATCGGTACGTAAGTGTTTATAAGATTACGCAGATTTAAAACTAGATTATCAACAAAAAATACACTACTAATTTTTTATTTGGTTTAATATAATAATGATAAATTCATTTTGTCCACATTGAATTTCTTTCTAGTTTGTTAGGTAAAATTTATTTAATACAAGAACACTTTATGACATTATTAAGGAGTGTAGGTGTCGGCGTAGTCGATTCGGTAAAGCTCATGGTTGCTTAACAGAAAAGTCTCGAGTTCGTACCCTCGGGCAGATGAGGCTAGTTAGCTGGGGACAGCCACTCTTCTAGGAGAGACAACTCCAAAATCAAACAACTGCTGCATTGTAGTTTGTTCTTGGTTGGACAAAGACTATGGAAGCAAATCGAGGCTGACTTCAAAATTAATGGCCTCAATGGCGCAAACCCAGTTGACACGTATACTTAATTGTGCTGGAGGGGATACCTTTCAACACTAAAATTAAGCACAAAGAATAAGAAGAAGATTAACCAAAATAGTTGGTGGGATTTTGTATTCAAGATCTTAAGTTCTTATAAAATGTGAGTGAATTAAACGTTTGCATTGTGTATTGGTAGAAAAATGTTAACATCATAGGATTAGCAACAAGTAGAAGTTAAGTATAGGCTATATGTTTATGTATTTTCTATAATGAAATTGTTTTTATTAATTGTGTACATTGTTTATTAACGTTTTATAGATCTGCATTTGTCATGTATATATATATATATATATATATATATATATATATATATATATATATATATATATATATATATATATATTCAATTTCATTATATCGTAGTTGCTAATGTTGCTGGTTCAAACTCAAATGTCTGCTTTAAGTGTCTTTCATTACCTATAACGTCTACTGTTTCTATTATTTTCTATTCTTCGGTGGGGTATGTTTGAAATATGTGATCGACAACCCCCTCTGTATAATATTCTTCCTCAAAATTGAATGTGTGTGTGTGTGTGCGTAAATGTGTGAGTAACTAGTGCAGTTACAAAAGCAACTTTGTTGTATACTAGGACAAGGTCAATGCTAAAACTGAACGATATAAATAGATGCTGTGACGTAGCTGGTGTGACTAAAATAGAATTTGACTTGTAAACCTAATGACAATTTGACAAGCTAATAATAGAGATTATGATAATGGTGGTACCAAATAGTTTATTTTGACCTTGTTGACAACACTGGATATACAACTGGGTGTGTACATAAGCTGCGTTTCTTTTTGGGAAGAGAGGAGGAACGCTGTGAGAGAACGATAAAGGGCAAAAAAAAACGAAGCTGTAACGATCGGAAGCAGAAATGCTGAGAGATAGACTCAAGTGTTAGTAGATCGTGAGAGAGTTATTTAGTTATATAATGAGAACAAAAAATCAAATTTAAAGTAAATGTATTTTTTAAAGTTTGGATATCTGCTTGAGCAATACAGTTTATTTTTGCATAGTTTGACAGAGATGCGATGTTTTGTCCAAGCAGTTCTTGTTGATGTTGTATACGCCATGTTTATTGTAGGTTGTAACATTGGAACCATTAGCTGCATGTTTTACAACAGATTGTAAGGTAACTCTCTGAAGGAAACCGACAAAGTGCACGCACACATTTCTTGTACCTATCTCCATACTCGCAACCTGTTGACAAACAGATATATGTATTTTATATATATATATATATATATATATATATATATATATATATATATATATATATATATATATATATATATATATAAAAGATATTAATTTTTGCCTAAGTAGACCTATTTTTTTTCAAATCATGATTACGTCTACTTTACTGTCTTTGAAATAAACAATTTATTTTTCATGTCTTGGTAGTTTCTAAATACAATCTTATAAACAGATTTTCCTTTTGCCTCTACACACTGTCCCCTCTACCTGGAGTTACCTATATCAAGATGGAATAACAAAAAAAGATTTATATATAAAACTAGCGTACCCGTCCCCGCGCGTTGCCGCGGGAATAGAAGAAAGTCTGACGCCATATATAAGAATGGTTTCATCAATGCGTTACCAATCCTATATTCTTAGACGCGTGACCTTGTTTTCTAAAACTGAGGTACTTAAATGTAAACAATGCCTGCGCTTGGATCATAAATATCTTGACACTACCGCATGAACACCTTGAGTTAATCACTCACCGAAATAATGAGGTAGGACACACGTCGGTGACCTCCCATGTGTCAGGGACGTGGAAGGGCGCTCTCGGGAGCCCCCGATTACACTACGTCAGGGGCGCCGTAGTGCTCGCAGGGAAACCCGTGCGCCTCGGGTCGTACAATCTAAGGGGCGCCGACGGTTGCGCCAGTTGAAGTTTTAGCGGTATATAGAGTAGTACCCCTTACCCGCTATGCAAGACGCACGATTAACGGATGCCAAGTGCTAACATAGCCGCTCTGGAACTCTGGGCGCTGCGTATATCGAATTTTAATTATTTTGTTAACATTAACCTTCCCGGGAGTTTTCTCATCAACTCTTTAAAGTTTTATAGCATCTGACTTTCATTTTTTTTAATATACCGTATATAGAGAAGAATCTAACCCTCCCGGGGCGCCGCCCTTGCAAAATTAAAATAGATGCCTGAAACGTACACAAAACATTCAAAACTTGGTATAAACGTTTTCAACGTTTACTTTAGCATTCTAATTTCATCGATATTTTAGATGATTTAAAAGTCACCAACAGTTAACATTTGACTTTAAAAAGTTAAAAATTTATTCAATTTTTTAAATTAAAAAAACACAGTAATTCCAGCTAGTGGTCGTTATGTTATGCAATTTTTGCATCATACATGGAACTGTTTTTCTAATTCAAGATTTACCCTTTATATTTTTGTAAACATTTTTGCATGAAGTGCAGCAGTTGTTAGAGTATTTCTTCTGGTAGCACAGACCAGGGAAGGCTTGAATCCTAGCAGCACACGTAGAGCTTTCAAAGTCTCCAACTGTTTCTAGTCCGTACACACAGGTATCTGGGTGGAATTTGTTTTTAAATATGGATTTTTATATTAGCCTAATATTTTAAAACATGATTTCTAATTCACTAAGACAGTAGACATGCACTTGACTTTAGAGGCAATATTTCATTTAATAAAAGAAAATACGTGAATTTGATTTTTCCTCTTCAGAAGAGAATCGGCGTATTGCTTACTACTTTATTGACAGTGGCGTACTGAGGGATTTCCCATTTGGGTCAAGCTATGGTGTAACATGTGAAAAAGGATTAGGATGCGATGTAAAGAAAAATAACAACATTGACAATACAATGACGACTTGGGTTCTTATCCAGTAAAAGCCGGAAGAGTTGTCAAATATTCCACTCGAATACGACGTTAATTACGGACGCGTCATAATTTAGTGTTTTGTATTACTTGAGATTGTTAGCATAGTTTCTTCAATGCATTTCTTCCTGTGGAAAAGTCTACTCTTCGCCTTAAGAGCAAAAATAATTTTCATAGAAAAAATATACTTTACTAGTGTCCGCCCCCCCCCCCCCTACTCGAAAATATCCAGTGTCCCCACCCCCCGGAGAAAAAAGTTTGAAAGAAAAACGGATTGTTAGCCCATTCCCCCGGACACAACGCAACTATTTACCTACATGGTAAGTACGGTAACAATTAAAGTATTCGTCCTGTTGTTTAAACTACGACTGTCTTTTTAAATTCATATTAAGAACTGTTGCTGAAGAAATTTTAAGACTAAATTTGAAAGCAAAAACAAATAAAGTTGACGCAAGTCTAACTCTTTATATCACGGGTATTGTTACTTCAAACCTACCATCCACCTTAGGGGCTGCCCCATGCCTTGCACATTTTCCGTCTCTGCATAGCTGTTGGTATTAAACGAAACATGATTTTCTTTTGTATGTAACAAGAACTTTAGAGCTAATTAGGATTTCTGTAATGACGATTTAAAAATAGAATCGAAAAATTATATAGCTACTGCTATTGTATGGCTTTTTATGTTCAAAATAGGCTTATACATAAAAGTGCCTGACCACTGTATTCAAAATTTAGCCTAAAGTAACCACCTACCTTACCGTTACCGCAAGTCGTCCCTTCCAATGCCGCAGTAACACTATTGCATAAGTTTTTTGTTATATTATAACAGAACATCTTTCCACAGTAATGTGCTACTTTATTCAGCTGAGAAAATTAAATAATCAATTTGATGGTCTATAAAAAAGAACCAAAGTTGCACGCTATTATGTGTCGTTTTTATTTTAATAGATATCCCACTATATGTCAAAACGATTGATTATAATTTAAACAACGCATAAATGCTTCAAAAGGAAAAACAAACAACAAAATGATTCTCTTAAATTGTTTTTCTTTTAAATATTTGTACGTGTTTCACTGTAAAAACACAAAAATGCTATCGAATTTATATAGTATAAAAAAACAACTCATTTTTAAAGGCTTCAATAGAAAAATATATATATAAATGCTTACCCTGCAATCGTAAGATCCATCCCCGTATTTCAACACACACTGTTCTGTCGGCGTATACATCAGACCCGGTAATCGCTCATTGGTCTGCTTAGTTGCTAGACATTTTGCTCCACTCCTATATACATACGTTTAAATACACCGTTGCACATTCAGATTATATATATATATATATATATATATATATATATATATATATATATATATATATATATATATATATTATGTATGCGCACGTTAATATTTACAGATAGAAAGATAAAATAGCAGTCTATGTGTGTTCTTTTGTTTTAGCGTGTGTTTTCACATACAAGACGAACTCAATATCAACTTACTCAGTACTCAGAATTGCGTCGATGTAAATCTTGAGGTAGTTGATGCTACAGTTTGAGAACCTCAAGGTTCTAGCACCTATTGGCGCCACTAGGTAACCGTCGACGGGAGAACATGTGTTGTCGTCTCCGTCGTGCTCGATCCCCAGGCTGGCACAGGATTAAACATAAAAGTTTGTATCTGTATACACTTGTGTCTGTATGTTTAGCCGCCTTTATTAATTCAAATAAACACGTAGTAAAAGAACATTTTTAGTCACACCAAACGTAGTTTCTTTCAGGCAATTCTTAGGTGTAGCCCCCCCCCCCCCCCACGCAAACATCTACCTCCCTTCCCAGCGCCCTGAATGAATTAGAATTTAAAAAGAATATACATATCTTTTTACGAGTGTCCATTTCCCCCGGAAATGTAGCCCTCTCCCCCATCCTACGAGAATTTCAATATCACCCCCACCCCCCCTCCCACCCCAAGAAAAAAATGTTTAAAAAAACAGATACCAAAGCCCTTAATGTGTAATTAGAACCACGAGAATAGATTTATGGAGATGCAATTATGATACAGCCACAAACGTTTACACACTAAGAAATAAACACTGAAAATAAACTTTAGTTATCACATATGTGTTTTATTTATCACGGGACGGCGTGGTCGAATGGTAGAGCGTTCGACCCATCAGATCCCATGTTCTAGTCTGTAGGGCATCTATGAGTCTAGCCATGATGGGTACCTGACTCAGGTTAGGGAAGGTAAAAGCGGCTGGGCATATTGCTGATCACACCAGCCGATGTCATTGAAACATGTAAACATTACTCCACCTCCCGTATGGTTTTGATAGGATACTTAGCCTATCTATTCCTATGTGGTTATTTATCCATTATACTTTTGCTAATTAAAAAAAAACTTTTTTTCATTAGCCCATCAATCACCATGTAGTTATTTATTCATTATACTTTTGCTAATAAAAAAAAAACGTTTTCATTAGCCTATCAATCACTATGTGGTTATTTATTCATTATACTTTTGCTAATTAAAAAAAAATTCATTAGCCTATCCATCACTATGTAGTTATTTATTCATTATACTTTTGCTAATTAAAAAAAAACTTTTTCATTAGCCTATCAATCACTATGTAGTTATTTATTCATTATACTTTTGCTAATTTAAAAAAACTTTTTCATAAGCCTATCAATCACTATGTAGTTATTTATTCATTATACTTTTGCTAATTAAAAAAAAAACATTTTTATCAACACTTAGATTG